GTGTGACTGTAAAAGCGTGTCTAAGTTACAGATATTGGTGAAACTATATCTGATCCCTATCGGAATTGGAACAAAGTTGTTGCAAAGTCTTACGACAACCCTGTGGTACCGATGTGGGACAACACATGTATACAAATCACTTTCCCGTCTCCTAAAGCACCACAACATGTTCATCTCAGCGAGAAGCTGATTGGAACCAAATAGGTGTATACTTGGTAAATCCAACAATCCCCAACAGATTTTCGGCAGCCTCCAAAAGTTCTTCCCATCAGGTAGGAAGATAAGAATGACATTTCATTGGGGGTCTCCAAAGCATATATTGGGATAAAAAGAATAGCATTTTCTTAAAAAGGAGCTCTTTGTAAGAGGACGAAGTGGCTAACTGCAATAAAGTATACTTAAGGTTTGGAGCTGAGACACCAACTGGGTCCTCAAGGTTCTGCGTTTTTATTGTCAGAAGCATTGCCCTTTAAATCAGTTCCGTAAAAACAGCACTAAAAATCTATCAGTAAAGCATTAAAGTATGGAAGAGGGATCCAGCATGGAGAATTTTGTAAAAGATACAACAATTAGGGCATCCATATCGTTTTTAAAAGGTACTTTTTTTTTTCTCTTGCCAACACCAGAAGCAGACAAGTACTGATTTTCTTCCGAACAATAAACTGACCTCTTCTACTTTACCAACAGAATTATCCAAGCCCCACTTTGAATTCTAGCAGATGGAACATCAGCCTGTACACAATTATAATCTTACTTTTAACTACGGATGCACCAAAATGGGATTTTGAGACAGAAATTGACATTTAAGAAATTGTCAGTCTGAAACCGAAAATGATTTTTCTTCCCAACCTTCTTAAAATTAATTTCTGAATTCTTTCATTTTTATTACTTTACTGCTGGGGGCTTTAGGGAAATATCAGGGAGTCCACAAAGACCCCTGATATTTATCTTTTAAAATATATTTTTAAAAAAGAAAAAAAAAAAAAAAGGAGATTCAGTCCTAAATCTTTTTCCGCAGCCCCAGCACGGAATGGACAGGAAGCCTCATAATGAGTGTTCCCGTTCATTCATAAATTGTGGAAATAGTATGAGTTACTATGTCCACAATCGTGATGTAGATCACATCCCATTCATTCATAACTGGTACATAGTAATTCACACTTTGTGCTTCACACTTTGTGCAGTTGTTTACAAGCATTCAGCGATCAGCTGATGGTTGAATGTTTGTACTCCGCCCTCAATCCTGAATCGGCTGTCACAGGAGGCAGAGCAGGGTGGTGCAGGGATGAGAGTTCAGCCTCTTGCAACACTGACAGCGCTCTCCTCCCCCACCACTCGGCATCCTGAGAGCTTCTCTCCTCTCTGCTGGGTGCTGGCCTCTGCATCGGAAGGCACGCAGACCGGCACCAGTGGGGCGGAGAGAAGCTGGGACGCACTGAATTTTCGACCGCCATGACCATTTTTGCCAATTTCGGCCAAAATGTTTAGGCGGCCGAAATTTCGGTGCATCCCTACTTTTAACTATAGCAAGACATGCCACCGATCTTGTTAAATTTGTTACGCATACAAGTCTGCAGAGAACTTGAGTATAGCATGTCATAGCCAATAGTATTTTTTTTATCTACTAATTGTCTGTTAGTTACTCATCTGTGATCTCACGGACCTGTAATAAGTCACTGAGGACTTTTATGGTTTTATAACATGTAGTCACCTGAGCCTTGAAAGATCAGGTGAGACAGACCAGGTACGTGAGATAGCCGATAATCACGAATGGGTCCGTGGCATAATTAATCTTATATCGCCTTCATTTTACATCACTACAATAAGTCAATAACATATGTGGCAGCGTAGGCCCTTATAATGTTTAAAAACAAGGTCCAGGGCATAAATAATCTTAGATAACTTTCATTTTACATTACTGCAATAAAACAACAAGTAACAGCTTAGGCTGTTAAAAAAAAAAAAAAAAAAAAGGTACAGGCTGCAATTCTTCTTTAAAACTGATAAAGAATTTATAATAAAAAAAAAAAAAAAAGCTTAGGGTTTTAAAAAAAAAAAAAAAAAAAAGGTACAGACTGCAACTCTTCTTTAACACTGATGCACGATTTCTTTAAAATTATCAGACTGCAGGTACAGCAACACTTTACAGTTGTAAAGGTATACAAGCAGTCATAAAAACAGATAATTAACAGTGTTTTACATCTACTGCTTAACAGTGGTAAAAGTAAATAAAATAAACTGACAAAGTGACACATAAGTTAATCATAAAGACAAAAAAGGTGAAATACATGCCATTTTTAAATAATGCTACTTAATAAAATGACTGACTGTGAAACAATAGGATGCACTCAAAAAACATTAATTCTACATTAATTTTCCAAAAATGTTGCTCGATTTGGTCATTCCATGGTTTACATGGATTGTTTACAGATAGAATAATTAAACTTAGAAGTAGGGATGCTCCGATACTGATACTAGTATCTCTACTGATACCGGGTATTTGAAAGAGTACTGGTACTCGCCCAAATGCTTCAATACTTACCGCCGGTACCGGAACTTCTGGTGAGAGGGAGATCTCCCTCTGACCACAAGTGCCAAGGGAGCATGGTGTTATGACCCGCCTCCCGGCTTCCTGATTGGTTAGGAAGTCAGGCTGCCTAGCAAGAAGCGACGCCAACATCCTAGTCAGTCAATCAGGAAGCTGGGAGGCAGGTCATGACGTACCGCCCAGCAACCTAATTTGCTAGGAAGCCGGCTTCACTTGTTGCTAGGCAGCCTGGCTTCCTAACCAATCAAGAAGCTGGAAGGCAGATCATGACGTGCAGCCCAGCTTCCCGATTTGCTAGGAAGGCGGCTTCACTTGTTGCTAGGCAGCCTGACTTCCTAACCAATCAGGAAGCTGGGAGGCTGGTTCCCATGTCTCACCACTCTGCTTCCTAATTGGTCAGGTAGCCAGACAGCCTTGGCAAATCAAGCCAGGGTTCTTTCGCTAGAACAACGGCTTCAGAGGCAAATCAGGAAGTTGGGTGACAGGACATGATCCGCTGCATGACTTCATGATAATCGGGGGGGCACAGCATCGATACTAGGTATCGGCAACTACCGAACCCCCCCCCAAAAAAACAAAAATGGTACTCGTGCATCCCGACTTAGAAGCAGTCTGTTGCCGCTCGATCTAACAAGCATTTAGGGCTGCAACAACTAATCGATTAAGTCAATAATCATTATCGATTAGTTGATCATGATTAATTGATTACAATGAGTTGATTCAGTTCAGCCGCATATCCCCCCCCCCGCTCTCCTCTCTGCTGCAGTCTGTCACCTCTGATCCCGCACTGCTCTCCCCCGCCTGTATCGGCAGAGGCAGCGGAAAAGACACAGACCGGCTGTCAGGTGTGGTGCTGCTGGGACAGATCGGGGAGGCTCAGAGGCAGTGGGTGTGTGCAATAGCCAGTTTGCTATTGATATTTGAAATAGCCAATAGCAGGCTTTTGCACCCCCCACTGAATGCTGTCAATCAGTAGAGTAGGACCTGAAGGAGAACTTTCTTCTTTAAGTTCCCTCTCTGCTGATTGGCAGCATGCAGTGGGAGTGTGCAAAAGCCAGCCTGCTATTGGTTATTTCAAGTTGCAATAGCCAATAGCAAACTGGCTATTGCACACACTCACCACCTGCTGTGTTTACTTTCACTGGCCGAAGTTATTCAGGCCATGTGTGCTTGAATAGTTCCTTAGAAGTGGAAAGGTGACCCTAGTGGTCTTATAGACTGCTGACACCTTAAAGGGAACCTGTCATCTCCAATGTGCTATCACATATGGGCTTTTAAGCCCCACCATGTGAAAGCAATAAAGTAAAAAAAAAAGGAGTCTAAAAAATAGACTTGCGTGAATGCGAACACTACTCCCGCACACAGTGCAATCACCTGCATTGGAACGCGTGGTACCACAATGCCGTGTGTTCCAGTGCGGTGTGATTGCAAAAAATTGTGCATGCAGTTTTATTCTGAAGCAAACTTTCTTTTTGTGACACTCCATTTATATACTTTAACTAGAAAATACTTATTTTTTTATTATTCGAATAAAAAATATAAAAACTAAAATTGATTATGAAAATATTTGTTAGTTGCAGCCCTACAAGCATGTAATGTCTTTCACTGTTAGGCAAGAATGCAGCATACACTCACTAACTTAAACCCCATTTGAAGGATTAGCTAAGCGGTAGATAAGCAGCACTCCCAAATTCAGAAACTGTCACAAAATTGGTAATGGCTTTCAAATAAAGTTCTACTTTGTCCTGCAACTAGAAAGTGTTTTGAGCTCTTCTTTACATATTGCCTTACAATGATGTATCTAAATTGACAGACTGAATGCAAAACAGGTTCCACAAACCACACCCATCTTTCATTATCTTCACTATTGCCCAAAGATCCATTGAAACTTGAGCTACTCCAATAGACACACTGTGACTTTTGCTGACAAAAACTCCCTCTTGGTGAGGGAGGCCTCACCTATAATAACCAACCAAGACCTGCAGGGTGTAAGTATGGGACAGCCCTGGATTTTCTCTGAAGCATTGAAGAATTCCGTATTAGTTTGCCCTGAATGAAGAGAGTCCCAAAATGCTCTTGAATTTTATAAAAAGGTAGGTACAGGCACTTAAAGGAAGCCGGCAATGTAATCATGCTGATGCTATTTAGAGATAAATATGCAACAGCTGAAGTTCCTACTTTCTCTACCACTACAACCACATTCAGCATACTGAATTCCCATCCTTCTGTATTGTCGATCACCATAGGAACTTAAACATGAAACCTTTCAATCAGTTCATAATTAATCTTCTATGAAATTCTATACAGTTAAGGCATACATTTTACATTACACTGAAATAGTTGCTAAATCACACCAGAATGTCTTCAATAATTTTCTCTGATGCAATGAACAGGTTTGGTACAAAGTGCTCTTCAATTACGGAGCCCATTACCTTCCTGAAAGAAAACCTACCTCAAATAGCCGCAGGTCAGCAGGGACTCTGTCTCCAACAGACAAGCAGACAGTATCTCCGGGCACCAATTCCCTGGCAAGTGTGTGCTCCAGTCTCCCTTCTCTTATACTGGAAAAATACAAATGTATTTGTTCAGGTATCCAACTCCTTGCTACAACCACTTCAAGTGACACTAAACTCGGAAGTAAAATCTTAAAAATGCATTCTTCAAGTATCTTATGTGTATATCACTCAGCTGTAGATGCTCAAATCATCTCTGAATTGGTGCCGACACTGTCCTTTCTTCTGGAGGGTGGCTACTTTTGTTCCCCATGGTCCCTGTGTGTGTTGTAAAGTAGCCACCACTCCATGCTCACTACCGTGATGGACTACAATCTCACATTTTCAATTTGGTATTACCATGACCTGGATAAAGGAGAGCCCTCACAGACAAACTAAACATGAAATTGTAGTCCATCACGGGAGCTTGGAGCGGTGGCTACTTCATAACACACACAGGGATCATGGGGAACAAAAGTAGCCACCCTCCAGAAGGAAGGACAGTGTCAGCATGAATTCAGAGATGATTTGAGGATCTACAGCTGAGTGATACAGCTGAGTGATACACAGGTACAGTTGTGTTAATAATTAAAGGTACTTGAATGCAGTTTTAAACTTTAACTCCCGAGTTTAGTGTCACTTTAACCAGCAAAGATAGAACACAGCAATAGAATCATACAGTATATCACAGTGTTCAAAAAAAATAAAATAAGCTTACCAGTGACATTCTGGTGGTACTAGTTTGCCTAGCTCTTCCAGAGACTTCTCTGAGCGATACTCCTAATATTGCAAAGAAGTATTTTAAAAAAAAGTGTTATATTTATGAACAAAACCAAAATTTACTAGTCAAAGAAAATGCCTAGGAAATAAGGAATGTTTACAGTAAAAATGATAACCATATTTGCAGCTGGGGGCTCGTTCCTAATCACATTATGGTCAACTGTCGTTTATAGAAATGGCTAGATTTCAGAACTTTAGCCACCTCCTGTCCATGGCCGTTTGTGAATGACCGGACAGGAGTCTGCTAGGAGTGGGAGGGTGTCTTAAGACGTCCTACCCCTCCCCCCTCTCGTGTGCGGTGCTCAGCGCGCACACATGAGGGAAGAGTGTGAGCATGTAAACAGCCAGCGATGGCTGTTTACATACAATCGATCAGGAACCGTGATGGACTACAATCTCACATTTTCAATTTGGTATTACCATGACCTGGATAAAGGAGAGCCCTCACAGACAAACTAAACATGAAATTGTAGTCCATCACGGGAGCTTGGAGCGGTGGCTACTTCATAACACACACAGGGATCATGGGGAACAAAAGTAGCCACCCTCCAGAAGGAAGGACAGTGTCAGCATGAATTCAGAGATGATTTGAGGATCTACAGCTGAGTGATACAGCTGAGTGATACACAGGTACAGTTGTGTTAATAATTAAAGGTACTTGAATGCAGTTTTAAACTTTAACTCCCGAGTTTAGTGTCACTTTAACCAGCAAAGATAGAACACAGCAATAGAATCATACAGTATATCACAGTGTTCAAAAAAAATAAAATAAGCTTACCAGTGACATTCTGGTGGTACTAGTTTGCCTAGCTCTTCCAGAGACTTCTCTGAGCGATACTCCTAATATTGCAAAGAAGTATTTTAAAAAAAAGTGTTATATTTATGAACAAAACCAAAATTTACTAGTCAAAGAAAATGCCTAGGAAATAAGGAATGTTTACAGTAAAAATGATAACCATATTTGCAGCTGGGGGCTCGTTCCTAATCACATTATGGTCAACTGTCGTTTATAGAAATGGCTAGATTTCAGAACTTTAGCCACCTCCTGTCCATGGCCGTTTGTGAATGACCGGACAGGAGTCTGCTAGGAGTGGGAGGGTGTCTTAAGACGTCCTACCCCTCCCCCCTCTCGTGTGCGGTGCTCAGCGCGCACACATGAGGGAAGAGTGTGAGCATGTAAACAGCCAGCGATGGCTGTTTACATACAATCGATCAGGCGTCTCTAGAGACGCCCGATCTCTTGCAGGAGCTGTGGGTTACCTCTGTCCCACCGTCTCCTCAACGCCGCTGCCGGTCCCGTGATCCGCTGTGGCCGGTGCGGCTGGGACCGGCGCGATGACGCTCTAACAGTTCATCAAAAGGAGTTAATTACTCGATCTCCCTTTGATCTCTTTTCCTGTCCCCGAATGCAGGAAATTCAGTGTCACTCTCCAGTGCGGAACACCGGAGAGAAGCTGATGTAGCAGATCTCTGCTTCATCAGATTCTCGGGGGGTCCCTAGGTGACATCCTATGTATGAAAACGACGATTGCGCCCATTATGTCGCACATGTTACATATCGCCGCAAACGTCGGAGTGAAAGTAATAATTCTAGGACCATCAATCACCGATAACACTAAACTGATGAGCTGTAAAAACTTTTAGAGCGTCGCCTATGGCCAATTTTGGTTGCGGTCGTTTTCTGCGATTTTGCAGGCGCGCACAATTTTAAAGCTTGACATGTTTGGTGTCTATTTACATGACGTGAACCAGTCTTTTATATTGTACCAAATAATTGTGGTGATAATGTTTCATAACATTTTATAGGGAATGTTTCCAAAATGTAGGGTACTTTTTTTGTTATATAGTAAAAAATAAAAACTGCAGTGGTAATTAAATCCCACCAAAAGAAAGCTCTATGTGTCCCCAAAAAATGGTATGACATTTGTTTCAGCACAGCGTTGCATGACGGAACAAATGTCAATCAAAGTACCGCAGCGCTGAATACTGAAAAATGGCCTGGCCATTTTTAGGGCTGAAGCAAGTGATAAGCTCAGCACCATTAGCAAGGCTCATAATGGCTGCTTTATGAAGTGAAAAAGCTGTTGACCTAAGCAAATTCCAGAATGAAAATTAACAGTTGACTGAGAATATCTACACTTTTAATAAATAATGACCCCGGTTCTGAAAATCTGATATTATTGCTCCTAAACCCTTTACTGAGCCAACTGTCTTTCTGCCACAATGAAGAATCTGGACTGAAAGCCAACACTTTTATACATGTTAATACATCGTAGTGTTAACATATCACGTAATCAACTTATTTTGGCAGAAGAAACATCTAATGAGGCTGCACCCCTTGACAATGAATTTCAACTCCATCGGTATTCTAAAGAGAGAGCAGAGCAGAAGCTGTCGGGTGTTTTCTTTTAGGCACACTGTATGTGACCGAAGGGGAGACAATTAAGATCCAGCTACTGAATCCTGTTAACAGGCATTTTAGAATAGGGAATACAATGAAATAGGAATATCCGAAAAGGGGCCATCCACTGGCTGGGAATTAAAAAAATAAAATAAACTGAAGAAAAATGTTTTCGTTTAGGATAAAGTAGAGAGGATTAGAACACCTCCTGGGTTTTTATTGCTGTCTATGTCCCCGTTTGAGAGAGTCACCTTCTCTATTTGTCCTGGAGATCATCATCACCGAAAGTGAAAAAAGAAAATCCCAAAAACGTTGGGTTGTCATCAGAACAGGAATAGAGGGAACATTTTCCAATAGCGACACCAGTTCTGGTGACCCTGCTGACCACTAGGAATTTACCTCACTTTGGAGGGATTTCCTCACATTTTGTTGTGGCTATCAGACCGGAAATGGAAATCTCCAATAGGACACAGATGGCTAAAAGCTGACAGCAGTTATAACCTCCCTTACCCTATACAAAACTAAAACATAAAAATGTTTTGGCTTTAGTTCTACTTTAACTGTATGGTGGCAAAGCCCCCCAATGCAGTCAGGGCATGATATTAAAGAACTCCAGGTTTTAGACAAATTAACCCTTACAGTGGGGCTCCCCCCGCACCGCAAGGGTTAGCTGCTCATTTTGGTCTAGGGGCTCAAATAAAGACGAAGATTTGCTCACCCACAGCCTGGGTTAATTATTCGAAAACCGGAAATTCTTCTTTAAGTTTCCACTGACAGCAGAGGTAATTATTATAAAAACAGTCATTTTTCAGGCACAAAACAAATTTTTTCATAGCACAAATACAGTAGAAAAAGATACCTTACCTGAACAAAGGCAACTGTGACGACAATAAGTATTGCCTGCCAAAACACAATAGAAGGTTAAGCTATATAAAGCTCTGAGTATCTGTGCCAGTAGCAGGATTAATTACCTTTACCTGAAATTCCAGTAACACGCTGGAAATGAATAAACTCCACTTGTCTAATCTTAGCAGATTACCACTTTAAAACCAGAAGAGAAGCCAAAACCCTATTTAACACTTAAAACGCATACAGATTTTTCATCAGCGATCTCTATTCAACTACAGGCAGTCCCCGGGCTACGAACAAGATAGGTTCTGTAGGTTTGTTCTTAAGTTAAACTTTTATGTAAGTTGGAACAGGTAAACTTTTTAAGTGCAACTCCAGACAATTTTGTTGTTGGATAGCATAGTGAAGGGTTTACCCCCTGTAAAGTTTGTTTTGCGGTGTGTGTGCCCCTGTTCAGAAGATTTCACCTCACTTTCTGTCCATGTGACAATTGGATTTTGAAAATTTTGGGTTGTCATGGAAACAAGGATTGGTGATAAAGCTTCAGTAGAGACACCTTTTTCCCATGATCACTCTTACAGGAGTGAAAGTCCCTTCATAGGGGTAGAGTTCCTTTCACTTCCTGTTGTCTCAAGGACAGGAAGTGAGATTAAATCTGTCTAATGAGGATACAGACAAAAGTTGAAACCTCACAGTGACCCGGAAGAGGTGGGCACCCCTTGTCTGCATGTCTAACAAGAGCCAACTTCCTGTAATGTACGTACAGTGCTACGAACCAGACCAAAAAAGGTGGGCACTCCTCGTCAGCACGTGCGCGGTAGCATTACAACTACCCCTGCTGTACAGTAATAGCCTCTGTTTGTAAGTAGGAGTCGGATGTAAGTAACTCGGGGACTGCCTGTATTAGCAGTTTGCCCAAAACTCTAATACAACTATACAGGAAACTCATTAAATTTCCTTTAATTAAGCTGATAAAACGGAGCAGTCTTTTCGAATTCTAGCAATATAAGCTCTCTCTTCTGAGCAGAGTTCTATATCAGACATCAGTCCCACCAGGTTCTGCTCCAGGCATTTTCAGCATGCTTGAATACACAGCTGTACAAAGAGCACCTTAAAATAATGCAAATTTAATAAAAAATCCATCATTACTCCATCACAAAAAAATAAACACATACATTTCCAACATTTTTTGTCACTTTCATGCCTCCTAACGCTGAAATGAATCACATGATAATATAATTTGAATGTAAGAGAACAAAGTGTAAGAAAATGTTGATTCCTGAATATTCATTAGCCTGTCCAGAAATAGCAGCTGAACAATCGTGAAGTGGTTTGACAAACGGCACAGAAGTACAGTTCCTTGCATAGCTGAATAGCTAATAAATATGCCAAGGCCGGAACCACAGCAGTCATTACGGCATGCTCAGGGAGACTCTAAACACTTCGAGGACAAAATGTTTTCTGCAAGTTTTCACGTCAAATTGGGCATGTCCTCAAAAAAACTGATTGCTGAAGGCTTATAAAAGATCTGACATTGTTTAGAAAAGAGGCAAAAAAGTCAAATTTTAAAAAAAACATTAGACAAAGGAAAACAAAGAACACTTATCTATGATTAGCTGAGAGAAGCATGTGGACTGCCATAGTTAACCTCATCCACGGGTGCCCCTAGCCTTTTTGCCACCTGAGGCAGCGCAGGGGATATGGGTGGTTTCTGGTGGTGCATGCTAACTGGGCAAGTGGGGGGCTCTTGCTCTGCCTTGCATCCCGCCCAGCTCCTGGCAACCAGTACCGTCACAGGTTGTCAGGAGCTGGGAGGGACGCCGGCCAGAGCATCTCAGGTTGCCAACAGCTGGGTGTGAAAAGGTGTATGGCCCTTACTCATCTCCCCACCCGGCTCTTAGCAATCTGGGATGCTCCGACCAGAAAGGAGGTGGCAGGCACACTACAAACATTGTGGAGCAATGCCATGCCACTCCCCCCATGTGACCCAAAGAGATGCCACCTCAGGTTGCCTTATTGTAGAGATGGCCCTGTATACTAAAAAAAAAAAAAGCTGGATTTTTGGCTGGGCCAAACCAGGGCTGTAATCCTTTAACCCCTCACAACCCATCCAAAAGGAGGAGAAGTAGCAATGTTAACCCTTAGAAGCCAAGAGATCCTCATCCAAGTAATAGCTATTTAAATGGGAACATGTAACAAATATAAAAAGTAGCTGTTATCCCAATTTGGCTGTGAAAGTGGAAATACACTTTAAGGCCTCATTCACAGACAGCAGGGTTGCAACAGTTTTGGAACATTAAAAAAAAACCAAAAAAAAAAACCTGCATTTTGGAAGTGGCAGTATCGCCTCCTGAATGCCTGGCAGCCGCAGCTCCACTGCCCTCTGAAAAGTGATTCACCGCATATTGCTTTTCAGAGGGTGAATGTGAATGTGGCCTAAATCCTGTATGCAGATCAGGGATTGATTTAACTGGCATCCGAGTCAGCGATAGAGAAAATAAATACTGAAGCCAATAAGTATGACAACCAGGAAACTAGAATTTTCAGAAGGAAAGATAAGCGATGGCAGCCCCTGTATCTCTCTCGTACATATTTACTACAAATCATACTTTATAATTACTAGGTAAAAGTAGGGAATCCTGCACTTATTGTGCTATAAACATAAGCAGCTAACATTACCAACGCCAATAAAACAGTATTCAGAGAATTCACTGGTCACTTACTTACCACAGTGATACTGACGGCATCATCAAACTGATGCATTAAAATGCTGATGACAGCGGAGGCCAGCAGGAGCATGAGAAGGGGGTTTTTAAACTGAAACACAAACATAAAATTAGTGGTGTAAAACATAGGTCTAATGGAAGCCATGTTATTAGCATCGAATGACGGCAGAGATATTAGAACCAGCACTCCCAGTTACCAGCTTTCATCTTTGGAGGATCTTGCTTCCCCAAAACTCTGGGAGGGACAAATAACGCTCCCCAGCTTCCTGACCTCACTTCTTATCTATGCCCTCTGATCCGGTTCACCCTCAAAAGCCTGTGAGTCTGTCTTTTGGAGTTTATGACTAGAGATGAATCTGGGCTTGGTGCAAACCCACTTCACCCAATCCCACTGAAAACTTTGTTTGCCTCTGACCCTCCCAATCAATGGCGGCAGTTGTGGCTGGGGCATTCCCCCTTTGTGACATACAGCTGCAGAGCAGGGAATGCACCTTTTTGCAACTGATTGGGCTGGGAGGAGGGGGTGGCAGTCAGTTCTGAGCGGGTTTGGTGCAAACTGGGTTTGCACCAAGCCTGGGCTCATCACTATTTGTGACCAAGAGGAAGGTGCAGAGAATGAAGGGGGCACACCACAAGCAAAAAGCTGTGGTCACATTTTCACAATTTCTGCCCCAGCAACCCAAAATGCAATGAAGATCATCTAAAGATGCAAGTAGGTACCTGGGAGGTGCCCTTTCTAAGGATAAGAATTAGCCTAGGGAAGGTAAGAAAACACCACAAATTCCATTAAATCCACAAATAAAAGAGAGGACTGACATTTTTTGGATTAACACTTTTGATATGTAACCTTAGTTTAGATATACTTCTTCACACAAATGCATACACCTTACAGAGACGCCATGTTAAGGTTTGCATGTTTCACATGGATATGCACACGTATGTATGTATGTATGTATGTACAAACATAAATGTATAAATGCTTGCATGATCTGGACACACACTTTGTTTTTTTTTGTTAACTTGGACAGCGCTCCTAACGCTTTCTTTATCTGGTTTTATTGCTCTATGTACCCTCATTGGAGAAGTCCTGGTTACCACTGTCACTAAGACAGGAAGTAAAGGAAAATAAAACCCAGTCAGGACACAGATGCTAAAAAAAGACCCATCCAGAAGCTCTCCCACACTCTATCCAAATTTTCTATCGTCAGTGCAACAGATTCCTGCATCTACGCTAAACTGTGTGGATGGACGGAAATGCCACTGGGCCAAGCTTCAGTATCTTGCTAGTCGGCTCCGCTGGCTGTCAAAAAACCTGAACAATGCCTGCATCCAATCAGATTGTTCAGGTATTTTGACAGCCAGGGGGGCTGACTAGCAAAATGTGACCATGGTCTGGATTACCACTGTACTAATGAATTTCATAGTACCTGGGGCACTTTAGAGCTAGAACAACAAAATACAAAATAGAGTTTTTTTAACTCCTTCATGACTGAGGCCCTTTTTTCATTTTTTGCACCCATGTGATATTCCACATTTTAGGCCATTACCGTTAAATATTAAAGTAACGTGTGGTGATTTTACTGCCTTCCAGACAAGCTTGAACCCAAGTCACAGTAAAACCATGCTGAAGAATAAAGCTGTCCTCAGCACAAAGGCAAACCCTGGAAACCAAAATGTATAGTATTCTGACAGGTTTTCTGTAAAAAGTTAAAATTGTACTGTCATCGCTTTTCACTATCTGGAGCACAGGTCTCACCTGTGCAATATATTTCTTCCACAAAGGTTCATCTTCACTGATATCAAATTCATTCCATCCATGGGAGGCTCTCCTATGACACACGTCAGCATTATTTAACCCACTTTGAAGATCAGCCTGCAAAGTAAAACACAGTATATAAACATGAATCTTTTAAAAATGGATAGCATGTAATTCTGTTTGTTTTAAGAAAGTTAATGTCAAAAAGGAGTTGTGCAAGGCTGTTAAGGTCTTCCAAATGCAGTTTTTAGACCTGGTTCACACAGCGGATTCAGTGCAACAAAAAGCTTCCCCAAAAAAGTCCCATTCATTCTTATGGCAAAACGCCTGTCATTGGAAAAAGTGCATGAGCTTCTTTGGTCAGATCTTGGCTCGTTTTGGCCCCATAGACTTAATAGGAAGCACTTGAAAATGCACGCTGCAGTTATTATTATTATACAGGATTTATATAGCGCCAACAGTTTGCGCAGTTGGCGCTATATAACAGTTTGACATTACAATCACAATACAAATCAAGACAAGATGGTAAGGAGGGCCCTGCCCCAGTTAGTTTTGCGCGTTTTCACGCACATGTGGATGCGGTTTGTCCATTGACTTCAATGTGTCACAATCTGCTCAAAAAAAATTTGCATATGTACCCACGAAAACGCTGTTGCATAGGTGTAAATCGGGCCTTAGGGAGTGTGGGAGGATTAGAAGCGCTGTCAACGTTATAGAGATGTCTCCTTACTTCCTGCCCTGCTGACATATTACTAGACAGGAAGTGAGGGTGCCGCATCAACAGCATATAAAAGAAATAAAAATCCTTTTCTTTAGTTAAATAGGGGGAGTCTAGAACCCCAGTCAAGTTGTTATTTCTGCCATTGTTCCAGTTGCAGATTTTCCCTCACTTCCTGTCTTGTTAAACTGCTGTCAGCAGGACAAAAATTGAGGGTAAATATCTGACATAGGCCTCAGTAAGCAGTAAAAATTAGTCAGGATATTATTCCTTCCCCACTCTATGCTAAGCTAGACAACAAAGATTTTGGCCTGACACTTGAGGGCTTGTTCACACTGAAAGTGTGCGTGTTCCAGAGCGCTAGCTGCTGAACGGACCGCGATCGCTACCAAAATAACAGTGTGTTTTTCAGCAGCTGCCACTCTTGAACGCACACGCTTTCGGTGTGAACCAGCCCTTGTATGTTGTAATAAATTTAATGTACCAAAGGAAGGCAGGACAAAAAAAAAAAAAAAAAACTGTACTCTGGTCTTTTGGAAATTAAGACAAACTGACTTATTCTTTTCTTTGGCAATAGCCCAATCTAGTTTTGTGTCTGCATACATTTGTGGAAAATAAGTGCGTCAAGAGCTGAACAAGAGACAATGTTGCAGAGAGAAATATGGTATGAAAAACAAGTTAGGCAATATTCACATTGACACTTTAGCACTAGGGTCTTCCTAAAGTCGCTTTCTTTTTACCATTCATTATCAGAGACCATTAGGGTAACTGAGCAATATCTCTGACACAAAGAACCATATTATCATATATACATGCAAGGTAAGCATTCAACTTCCATCCCAAGAAAAACATTAAAATCTCATCTATGGGAAAATCCCTCCTTATGTATCGGTCTCCTTTGCTCAATATTTCAATTTATTAGTGGGTGTCAAAAGTGTGTTTTAAGTGAAATTGACCTGGCCTAATAAGGTGAACAAGGTGTGGTTCCTGCACATAGCTGTGTTAGTCCCCGTGTACATTCTTTTTCCCCATGGAGCCCCTTGATTTCTAGGCCTTAGTTACCCTAGTTGAGATAAGCCCCAACCTTCACTGGTACTAAGGCCTGTCCTATGTAATTTCCAGAACGTCAACTGCCCTCTAGGGCTCTGGCATCTGACAAATGACAAGGATTAGCCCAAGAGGCAATGACGTCACAAGGGGGGTGCAGCCCGCATCCGGGTGACACCAAAATGACAGTTATTTTGGTGTCACCCCCTCTAAAAACAGTTGGTGCACTCGTCATGGACCAAGAGCCCGACAGTGTCAGGAGAGAGGAGGGGACCTGGGGGCATACCTCATCCCGCCGGGTGAACGTCTCCTCCTCTCTCTGCCGGCGTCCATCACTAAGATGGCCGCCGGTAGGAGTCAATTACATGACCTCGCATGCGCGATAACGTCATGGCGGGGTGTCACCCGGTCCCCACTCTGGGTGACATCCAGCCTCGGGACGCCCCTGCCAAGAGGGACTAAATCTCAACTTTGGGAGAAGTCGAGGCCCCATGTATAGCTCGGACCAAAGATAAGGGCTCAATCATGATCATTTTAAAGAATGTGAACATGTACTTGCAAGCAGCACGTCGTCGAGTTTTGAACTCTTGCTACCTGCATTTTTTAGGCCAGGTCTAATTCTCTTTAAAAGGAGAATTATGAGGTGAGTGATTTTCACTCAGCCTCATAATCTGAGCCGACCTGTGACAATGAAAGCGTCACAGGTCGGCTCAGTAGATCGGAAAGTGAGCTGTAGCTCGCGGTATACTGAGCTTTGGGTCACGGGAGGACGCTAGTTTGTGTTCTCCTGTGACCCTTAGGAGAACTAAGGGGAAAAGCCCTGACCCCACAGTTCTCCTTTAAGCCTCCAACATCAAGTTAAGAAACACATAGGTATGATGTCACAGTTGGATCATCAATATATAGGATTAATTACTGAAAGAGTCCTTTCAACCAAATAAATATACCTATGCACTCTAGCATTACAAGCAGCAAGTAATTTTAGCAGCCACGCTTTTTTTTTTAATTATTGGCTGACTGCTAAGAAATTCCATCTACAGATAACCTTGTGTTGTATGATCACCATTATGCAACAGAGAAAGAAAGACAATGCAATAACTATTCTTTTGCACTTTGTTGAAATGTCATAGATAAAAACTAAAATCGGCAATTTCCACTAAGCAGCCAGCACACTGAAATGCATCCGCTCAGCATATATGTTTCATTAAAGGAGAAATAGTGGAAAAAAATAAATGTATTTTTCCTAATAGCTTGAGCCAGCGTGTGACACTGCAGCTGCATTGATCGAGAACTGAGTGATCACAAACCGCTGATCACTCAGCTCACGGTGACACAGCATATATTTTCTGGGTGATACGTATTAAATCAAAGCAACTTTACTGTAAAGAAAACAGAAATCTGCAAAAGAAGATTTCAGGAGATTTAATGAAAAAATGAATTTTCTTCTTTTGCAGGCTATTTTATTTTCAGTTTTTAATTCCGTAACAGAAATGCCTCATGGTGTACAATAAAAACAAAAGACCTGGAAACTAACACACAACCCACCTTAAGTATCCAAGCAACTTCATTGACTGGTAATTCACTCGCTTTTTTCGAAGACAACACAGGAATCATTGTATCATTTTCAGGGTTCGAGGTTTCATGAAATTTTGAAGCCTGCAAGAAAATGTAAAAAAAAATTGTAGTCTTTAGTAAATTATTCACTAAACGTGTAAAATCGTGACGTCATCCACATTTTTTGAAGCACAAAATCAAGAAAAAGAATACTAACTAAAGCGGAAAAAAAAAGCCAAAAGAAAAAAACCCCAATCAATAAAATATGGTGTTGAGAAGGAAATTACATCTGGCTACTTAACATTTTAATATCTTGGTACATTGACTTTATGACATGAAATTATTATAATAAAAAGGAAGCATACCAAACTTTCAGGAGCCAGAATAAAAGCTCCTACAAAATTATAATATATCCCAATTGTAAAATTCCTTTCCCTCCTGTGTAGTAAATACTACTACAAAAACTATTACACTAATACATAACCTTTCAGAAAGAGCCAATAGAGGCAAGTTCAGTTCATCTACAAAAGGTACAGTGTTTTAACTGTAAGTATGCTCCTTGCCAACAGATTAGCCATTATTCCTAGTTAATCGTTCATAAAGTCTGTACAGCTATGAATTACTACTGTGTATGCATACTTCTGCTTTTATTAAATAAATCCAGAAAAGCACTTTGAACCTAGCAAATAATAAACCGTACATAAAGCAAACACAGTTCATTAGGTTGAACTCTCTAGTACCCAAACGCAACCGCCATTACACTTTCTGTGGGTGACGCTAGAGAAAATTAATCTGTACTGTGAACACAGGTGCAGTACACGATGAGTTTGCCGAGAACCAGTCATGAATAAACATTTCCAAATATATTCATCTATATTACACAATTGTTACACTAGTGCGGCCGTACCTTTCTGGGATAGGCGTGTGTCCTGTTACTTATTTTACGTATTTTCTTCCCACTGCAAATGTGAGCCCAATGCAATGTCCCAAGGAGGATTGCTATTGCTCCTGCCCGAGTTTAGGGGAAACTAACAATTGACTCTGTGTTTAAGCTTTTGGTGGTGGGTAAACCTAATAATTAGTTATTAAAACTTTGGTTTTATTTTATTTGATCCTAAAATCATTGCAACAGTTTGAGTGCCTGTTATCAGCAATATCTTCAACCCTCTGCATACTGCTATACACACTTGCATATTTCTAGCACAATTCTGCATAATAACACACACACGCACACACACACACAGCCAAGCTGGGCAACTGCATTAAAGTGATCCATCTCTTGCCAGTCCATATTCTTCTTTGCAAAATGCCAAATACTTGTTCAATGATCACTTCAAATCGACATTAGGGCTGCAACAACTAATCGACATAATCGATTATAATCGATTATTGAAAAAGTTGTCAACTTACATAGTGCCAATATGGGGTAAATTGACACAGTTGGAGGAGAGCTACTGTCTTGGTTGTGGTCACTAACTTGCGCTTTGTAAAAGTTGCCCATACACCTTTGCGATTATCGTTCAATTCCCGAACAACGATAAATCGGCCAGTTGAAGGGAAGTCAACAATCACAATTACTGTACTACTTGTCCCACTGCATGGGTTAATAATAATTGTCCCTGGAGTTGTTCTTTAAGAAGGTGGACACTAAACACTTGAACAAGGCACATAGCGAAACACACAGTCAAAACATAAAAGTAGACAATTCTGCTTTCTAAAGGATTGGTACCTCTGTTACCACTCTTATGAAAGATGTCCCTCTGAGTGTTACTCTGCAGGGGAATTACTAAAGGCCGATATCGAGCCAGAACAAGATATGTGTACTATCTGTATGTAAAAATATATTTAATGATTTGTTTTTTATATATATGCATATTAAATGATTATCTGCTTGAAGATAGATAGATAGACTTGAAGGTACATAGACTTTTAAGGCAGAAACATTGCATACCATCTTAGCTAGAAGATTGCTGAAATGATTACACATACATGGCAAGCTTTGTTTTCAGTCGTATGTTTGGATAACATAATGGGAATCAAATCTCAAAATCAGAAAACGTTTCACGCAGCTCATCCTGAAATGTGAGGTTTTGTACACACTGGGGAAATAAGTAGTGTAAACATAATCTGCCATCAGTAGTCTTGAAAGTGCATCATTCTTGGCATTAATGTGCTTATAGTCTACTAGAAAAGCACAGAACCTACAGCTGATCACATGACAACTGCTGGTACTAAATTTCCAAATCCTATAACCCGTCTACCCAACTGACAAAGGCTGCATAATTCACTCACTGCCTGCAGTCATTCTGCTGAGCCAGCACATCCAATGCGTTCTGCATTCATTCTACCTGTTCCAGCATCTGGTACCATACATCTTCTTATGGTGATGAGTTTTCAAACCTGACTTGATATATTCCCAAGTTGCTGCAAGCTTTAATGCTCATTAACTATTTAAGAATGAAGACCAAATATGCACATTGCCTTCACACTCCTCTAAGAGAGAACATTCACTGATTGACATGCTACAAATAGGCCATGCGGAGTTAACATCAGAGTGATGAGTGCTCCAGGGAGTCACAAGCACCCATCCTGCATGGAGATTGTCGAACATGCTAGAAAAAGCACTGACCGAGCCTACATCATGCACCAATCAGGGTGATGACCTTCAAACAAAATCTCTATAAAAAGGAACACATTTTCTAATGTTTTTTGCTCGTGTCCTAATGTACAAGTATGCACAGCACACTTACCTTAAAATGGTGCCCTTCTATATCTCGGTCGGATCAATCTTCGGCCCTTAGCTCTGTCCCCCTGCCACGGGTACTTACGGGTTCTTGGAAACCCTCTTCGGCTATTGGGAGGTCACTGATGAAGTAACTTCTGCGCATGCAGGAGTTAGTCACATCTTCCCCAGCAACCGGCCCGTTCACGGCATCTTAAGAGTTTAATGGGCTGAAAGTATACACTGCACATGTCTGTGAAGGTTCTCATTCATCCAAGTCATGGTATATCTGTAAAAAAAATAAGTCAAGGCAACTGGACTTGCTGTATTTTTCTTGGAAGACGTTTCACTGGCCATTCAACCAGCTTCATCAGTTCAGAATGACTTTCATTGCAATGGCTTTCAATGAAACTAATTCTAAATTGAGAAAGCTGGTTGGATGTCCAGTGAAAACGTCTTCCAAGAAAAAAAACCAGCAAGTCCAGTTGCCTTGACTTATTTTTTACAGATCTACACTGCACAGTACACGGGACACAACAAAAATGTTGGGGGAGAGGCGATTATTTTTTTTGGCAGAGGTCACTTTGCATGTCTCTTCTGCCGAAAATCCCTACCTCCCAGCAATTTTTTAAATTTTCCCCTTTTACTGCCACGTTAATGATTACAATGTATAAATTCATGGAGGGGGATTTATCAAAAGTGGAGTGGTTGTGCATGGCAACGAATCAGTTCATATCTTTCAATTCAAAGCTTAACTGAACGAACTTAAACCAGAAGCTGATTGGTTGCCCTGGGTTACTGCTCAAGAGTCCGTTTGCTTCAGTTTTGATCATTTTCTCCCCCGATATCTTTACTGTAGAACACAGTTCTGCAGTTGTGAAGTACGCACACCTAATATACTCCAACCCATAAATCTATATGTTACCTAGGAAACCTCCATGGCAACAAACAATGAAGAAAAACAATCATGTCTGTATAATTACCCAATAATTCGGTCTGGGTAGAAAATTACTATATAAAGAAGTGAATCAAATAAATCTTAAAAATTACAAAAAGTTAAAAAAAAGTGCCAACATAAGCAAATTTCATATAATCAAAAATTGTAGTGAGAATAACCCAAACAGAAGAAGACCTTAAAAACAGTAGCATACAAAGTTGCATCAGTTCTATTATCTCATACATACAACCAAAGTATGTCAGAATACCCGAACAGAGTTGGCAGCTCTGTTTGTTTGAACATTTTCTGACCAGCTGATCGAAGGATGCTGGCCAAAAAAGGGTGCCAACAGCGGTACCCACAGTGCAAATTTTGAAGAACCTAGCCTAAATGAAGAACCGGACGCAATTTGCATATAGTGTGGCCAGCTCTAGTGCGACTCACAGGATAGGCACTCATGTACTAGGTGGTAAAAGAGAAGCACTGGTGATTCTTGCACTAAACCACTTGAGCTACAGCCAGAAAGAGAGGGAAAGAGAGAAAAAGAGGGGGGAAGAGAAGCAGGAAATAAGAGCGAGGGGAAGGGAGTAGGGTGGGGTATGGCTGGGGAGGAAACGTCCATGCAGACCAGATCTGAGTGTTCCTGTATGGGAGCATTGTCTGAATGAAGTTTGATGGAAGCTTACATGTCCCCTGGGGAGCCCACATAACGTAAAATTTTGCCAGTGTCCTTCAGTTGCACTGTTCTTTTCTAGTTAACCATGGTCCATGTGATGCAGTGCTTCATCTTGTGAAAGTTAGGGCTGGGTGATATCCAAGCCTTCACCATAACCTGTTTTGTGGCTGTCAAGACACAAATTATGAGCTTAAATTGGTTGAAGGTAATCTTCTCCATTTTTTCAATGACCAGTAGGTCTTTAGGTATTGGTTTACAAAGGAAGACAGCAAATAACTGGAAAACCCAAGACCAGAGTTCAGGAAACAGCTGGACACTGCCACCACATATGTACAGTAGGTAAGTGCCCTACTCTGAACTGCCACAGAAAGACAGAAATTGGGTACATAGTTGGCCATTCAAGCAGGGATCAAATATTATCTAGAAATTAGTTAAAAGTTTGGATCTAATGTATTAACATTCGCAGAGCAGGACTTAGGAGGTCAGCCACCAATATTCACACAGCTGAATATAGTGGTCAGCCACCATTATGTCCTTTTATTAACGTGGTACTCAAAACTGGATCCCATATTCTAGATGTGGTCTTGCAAGTGATTTATATAAAAGAATTGATACAGATTATCATATCTAGAAACTTGACATTTTCTTTTTTTTCTCCCAAGAGAAAATAGATTATAAGCCATCTATCATCAGTGTATCCAGTCAATCCTGTCTAGCTATTAATCACCAGGGGGAGGCTACTTATAGCAGGCCTCAGCCAATTACTA